TTCAGTTTTTCAAATGGGCTGGTGTATTATTTTTTCAAGTTCGCCTTCATTTTCTTGTGTTGCACTGCGTCATGTTTCTTTATTTCTAGATATTTGGACACCTCTTCCTACTCTAACGCTTTTATGGTTGTTGTATTACAGAGTTCAATGTGCTGGCTAGATTGTAGTTATCCTTTGATGAAGGTTGCTTTTGCGCATTTATCATCCAGGCCAAATTCCATCCTGATATCTTCGCTAAACTGTTTGGTCAGCTTGAGTTGTTTCTTGAGTTCAGTGTCGTCTTAGTCTTTTGCAATAAGCTTTAGATCGTCGACGTACAGAAGGTGACTAATTTTTGCTGTTCGTTTCTGAGCCTGTATCCTGTCTTCGCGTTGCTTAACATAGTGCTCAAAGGAAATAATGCCATGCAGAAGAGCAGCGGCGAGAGCGAATTTCCCTGGTAAATTCCTTTTTTGATTTGTACATACATCTTTGATTATTGTGTTCATATTATTTGCAGTTAGAGTAAGATCTGTATTCCAGTTGGTCATGGATTTAGTGATAAGGTGGAGGAGTGCGGGATGTGCTCGATACATGTTCAGAATTTCCATTATCCAACTGTGTGGGACGCTATCATACGCCTTCTCACAATCTATCCATGCTAGAGACAGGTTTTTTCGACTTTCCTTGCAGTCCCTGTATATTGCTTTGCTCGTTAGGAGGTGATCCTTGCAGCCATATGAATCTTTAGTACAATCCTTCTGCTCGAGCGGGAAAATACTGTTTGTGGTTAGGTGTATGTATAACCTTTCTGATATTATTTTTGTAAGAGCTTTGTACATCTTGTTTAAACAAGTGATGGGTCTGTAGTTTTTGGCTTTTGTAGTTCCATTGTTTGTTAACCATATTGGGATGTCGTGTTTTTCGTCGAACATGTTAGAAGTTACCAATTTGTGTTTATATTCTTCTTTGCCACGCAGGCTCCTCTTCTATTCTTAATGTTTTCTTTTTGCTATTTGTTGGAGAAACTCGCTCTTGGATCATCAGTGCTACGGGCTACGACATAGACCATTTTTTTTATATTAGTGAGAGCTTCATATCCTTCTGGTTCTCTCGTGATGCTTTTTGTTATTGCTAAGTTTCCTAGCTTTATGAACTTTTGTACTTGATCGTTATCATTGATTCTCCTCAGTGGTTCTCTTTGGATATCTGTAGGTGTCGTTTTATCTGCTTCTGTTGTTTCAGTTATTTCTATTATTGTTTCGTCTAGGTGTTCCATTTCCTCTGGTATTTGGGGATGAGTTTTAGATTCTTGTGGTTTGGCTGCTGGAGTCGGCCTTATTGACTTGGAGGTGTTTTCTTCAATTACTTTTCAGGTTTCTCGTTCTGACTCTCTCCATGTGCTTCTCCGAGTTGGTCATTTTCGTTTTGGATGCGCTCCCGCACTTCTTTCAGTATCGTGTCTATTTCTGATACATTCAGTTTGCCGCTGTTTAGGATGAATCTTTTCTGTGTTCCAAGAGTATTAGCGTTTAAGTGACGTTTTGAGTTTGGGTTTCTTTCCTTCCAGATTTGAAGTGTTTCCTTCAAGCTCGCTGTGCCCGTTTTGTGGAGAGTGTAGAGGTGACATCACACCATAGTATTTCTTTGTATTCGTCGATTGTCCATTTGATTATTTCTTGCGTTTGGTTGTGGTTCCTCTTTTCTTGGATTCACTTTGGTGGTATTAGTGTGTGATGTTGTTTTATTTGCTTCTAATTCTTCGAGGAGCTCAAAGTGTCTGGATTCCCGTTTCTCGTCATTAGTAGGGTGATTTGCTTTTGGTGTTTCGTTTTCAAGATCACTGTGGGCGGGTTTTCGGTGTTGTACTGTCCATTTTCTGGTGTATTTTCTGTTGTATATATTTCGAAATTGGCTTTGTATTGTTCAGACATGGCCAATATTTCAATGCTCGTACCATTTATGTTTTGTCTTTTCGCATTTTATCGCAATATGTTCGCTGGTTATTTGGTTGTGTGACAAGGTAGTTTTTCAGCTCTTGCCAGTGCCTTCTCACGTAGCTGACTGCTTCCGATCGTATTCTTAGATGTTTTTTCGTGGCTAGTAGGTGAAGACTGACTGATAATTTCCATCACCTTCTATTTTTCTTACTTTGTAAATTTTACTATTGTCTTCCTTTGTTGTTGGGGAAGTTACATGTTGGGTACTAGTTGGAGGTTAAGCATTTCGCATGATGGCGATCGAAGGCACCTCTAATCTCCTGCCGGACGCGGTGTCATGCATTGCTGCCCTGACCTCATTTACGTCGTTCTTTTCCGAGACTTTATAGCTATCTCTCTCACTCATTTTCATAAGGTGCCAGATTTTGTCCCACGGCGGTAGGTATTTCTTTAAATTTAATGCACTTATGTGTTTTTTATGTTTTTGTTTGGTGCATTTAAGGTTTCTGCGATTAGGGAATTCCATTTATAGACTACGCTAGTTAGGTAAGAAATTTTTTGTTCCGAGAAGAAGAGTTCCCTCTTTTTTAATTTTTTTGTAATGTCCTCTAAGGTGTAAGTTTTGATTTTTTTGAAACATATATTCTAGTTTTAAGGTGGCTAGAGTAGTAGCCATTCAGGATCTTGTATGTTTCAATTAGGTATCCTGTTTCCCTTCTTTTCCTAAGTGTTGTCAACTAAAATTTTTGTAGTCTTGTTTCGTATGGCAGGTTTCTTAGTTCTGCTGGAATTTTGGCCATTTTTCTCTGAACAATTTCTAAGAGATCCATGTCTTTGATGTAGCAAGGGGACCAAACTGTTTGGGCATATTCTAGTTTTGGTCTAATGTAAGTGGTGTAGGTATAGTTTTCTTATCATTTTCACAGTTTGATTTCAAAATGCTTGTATCATAAGGTATATTGGTTGATTGGCCTTCATTACTGTGTACGATATATGGATTTCCCATTCGGGATCATCGGTGACATAAACTACTAAGTATTTTTATGCTGAGACTTTTTTGAGTTCGACGCTGTTTATTTGGAGGTAAGTTAAGGGTTATTTCGTCCTATGTGTAAAACTGCACATTCAGTTTTAGCTGCCATGTTATTGTCCATTTCTCTACAGTACTCATGTCTTCCCTTAGTTGATATATGCAGTTGTGTTAAAGGATTTCCATATAGTTTTTTGTCATCTGCAAAGGATTTGACTTAGGTTTGTTTAATCTTTGAAAGATCAGAAATGTACACTACACAAAATGGAGAGGCAAGCACAGATCCTTGTGGTACTTCGCTGATGACTGGGGTGCCAATTAGAGCTGGTGTCATTTGCTCCAGCATAAACAGTTGTTTGCTTAAAAAGGGAAGTACTCCATTGCAGGTACTTGCCTCTTATTCCATAATGGCTTAGTTTGTAACAGAGTCTTTCGTGTGGTAATGTATCGAAGGCTTTCTGAAAGTCAAGATATATTATGTCGATTGGCTTGCCTTCGTTTAGATTTGTAGACCAATCGTCTAGACAGCTAAGAAGATTTGTTGTAGTAGATGTTTTTGGCATAAAGCCATGCTGTGTTAGAGGTAGGATGTCATTTTCTAAGATGAATGAAGTCGTTTCTGTTTCACAAGAATTTTTTCGAGTACTTCGGAAAATGTGCAAGTCAGGCTGATGGGTAGGTATATAATTGGATGGATCATCGATCGTTTTTACCACGACTTTTGTAAATCGTTATCACTCTAGCTTTTTTCCAGATCTCTGGTATCCTCTGGTTCCATTGTCTATTGAATCTTGGTATAATTGGACTAAAAGTGGTGCTAGATATGATGCACATTTCTCTAAAAATATAGATGGTATCCCATCTGGGCCTGGACTTAAATAGGTTTTCGGGTTACTTAGAGCTGCAGTTACTTTTTCTGTAGTTATTTTTGTGACTTCTTTTTTTTATACTGCTTCTTCAAGAGTTTTCTCGTTTCTTTTTCCATTATCTCATTGTCATTTCTATTTTCAACACGCCCCTCTTCATTTTCCTATCAAATGCCTCGACTGCTATAATGAAATCCTTCTACATTGAAAATTATGTCGTTAAACCCTTTTTCCTCTGTAAATTCTATTATCTATATCCGGATTTGCTATACAGGGTGTATCTGGTATGATTATAAATATTCTAACATGAGATAATATGGCCTATTTCAAAAAAAATTGTCCTATTATCAAAGTCTTTATCAACCATGAGTTAATTTTTAGTATTTTCGGAATTATCGCAGAATTTAAATTTAGAAAAATATTAACAACGTGACAACATTGTACAGATATTATCCCTGCGAGGATATAAATGTAAATAAAACTGGTAAATTTAAAAGGTTTTTTTGCAAGGATAAACTCCTTATTTCCACCTGGCTTTCAAATAATGTAAATAATAATTTGCATTCTAATAAAAATAAAAAATGTGCCGTTTCATTAAGTTGTGACTTGCACTTAATGACATTTTCGCACTAAACATTCAAGGGAAAAATTAAGTAATACTTACTCAGCTACTTGCCAAATCCTTATGAAAATATTAATTTTTGTTAAAAGGTTCTCAAAACACTAAAATCAACAACACGCAAATTTTGCACACTCACTCTTCCTGTCTCACGCAATCTTTGAGACAGGCAAAATGTTCTTTCATCAGGTAGGTGCCGTTTTTTTCGGAAATCTTTCCCTGTAAATTATGGCGGCTAAATCAGCTAAATATTCTAAACAAGTATCAGCATATTCGACGTTTGTAAACATTTTATTTCCAAAAAAGGATGAACTACGCGCGTTTCTAATGCTTCAACTAACTGACGACAATACAAATCAAGAATCAAATTCAACCAAGGTTGCCAGATGTTTAGATACCGAATAACAAGTAAAATTTTCATTTTTTCAATTTTTTATTATTGTTGTTGACCAAAAATGCATAATTACCTAATAATTGAATGAACTAAACTTTTTTATATCTCATGACGATTGAAATTTTCTTTATATTTGCAATATTCTTCAAAAAATATGAAAACTTCAAAGGCCTTTTCCTTAAAAATAGTTGAGTTTAGACCCCATGTTGTTTAAACTTTTTTTGTTCAAAATGGGCCATATTTTCACGTGTTGAAATTTTTGTAGTCAAACCTGATAGGTATCTAATCATAATATTTAACTATTTTTTGTAGATTTTACCTGCGTAAGTCAGCACATAGCAAAAAATGGATAATCTTCCTAGAAGGAGGATGGTATTGCTATGACCATCATAGCTGCAGAAATCGATGGATAAAGCAGCGCCATTATATGACGTCATCAAATTGGCCAGAAACTAAAGACGGTGAGTTAACAAATTAACAATGTCCAATTTCACTTACGATTTATATTCATTTATTTCAGTTAGTGGCATACTTTCACCAAATATGCAAGAAAATCCTTATTGGTGGAGCGCCAATCATGTATTCGTGCCATATTGCACCAGTGACTCTTGGAGTGGATCTAAGAAATCAGATAAACAAGGTACATTTAGCTTCATGGGATCTTCAATAGTACTACAAGTGGTGAGAGATCTAATTCCTTTGGGACTTGAAAACAGTACCGACCTAATGCTTGCAGGTAAGAACCTGAAAAACTTTGAAGTGGTATAAATCTAACAAGCTTCTTTCTATATTTTAGGTAGTAGCGCTGGAGGTACCGGTGTGATGCTCAATCTTGACTTTGTGGAAGAATTGCTACATGAACAAATGCACCTAAGAAAGATTCGAGTTAAAGGCGTAACTGATTCCGGCTGGTTTCTGGACAGAACGCCTTTTGCTCCTACAAATAAACCTGCTGTTGATGCTATAAGAAAAGGAATGGATTTATGGCAAGGAAGAGTACCTAGAAGGTGTCGTGAACAATACTTAGATGAACCTTGGAGATGTTATTTTGGGTACAGAATTTATCCAACCCTTAAAAGTGAGTGTAAAATTTTAACAAATAAAATATTGATATTCAACCTAAACTCACTCTCAGCTCAAATTTTCGTATTCCAATGGCTCTTTGACGAAGCACAAATGGACGCTGACAATGTCGGTGCTCCAGTAACAAAGCAACAATGGGATTACATTCACAAAATGGGTGATGCTTTAAGGCATAGCTTTCAGAATGTTTCAGCTGTTTTTGCCCCCTCCTGTATATCTCATGCAGTTCTTACGAAAAAAGAATGGCAGGAAGTTAAAATTGATGACATTTCTATTGCTGATGCTTTACATTGTTGGGAACAAAAAGCGAATAGAAAGAGGTAATGTGGGCATTTTTGAATTGGCTTAGAATTTTTTTAACTTATTGATATTTGCAGAATCAAACGACGGAAAAACAATAAACGCAAAAAGTCCAGAAAGCAAAACTCAAACCCAGTGAAAAATTCAGACAATAGTCTGGTAACAAATACTAGGCAAAATACTACAACTAAAGCTATTGATGCTGTAAATAATGACAAAAAGAAAAATAGGAATCAAAGGAAAAATAAAAGAAAAAATCACAGAGGTAAAATATTAGAGTTTTCAACTTATGAAGTTTTTTTTAACAATATTTTTTGTTTTTATAGATCAACGCTCAAACAAGAGAAGAGCTAACCAGATTAGGACAGCCAATACTGTTCCAACAAACACCAATTTGAATTACATCAACAATCAAACTCAAAGAAATCCATTGCAGAAGCAACGACGATCGTATAATAAACATTGTGTACATAGAAGATTGGAACGGTGTTCTTGGCCACAAGTAAGTTTGCTTTAAAGACCTTTCAGTTCTAACTAAGACACTTCCATTAACCCCTCGAAAAAAAAATATTTCTCCTTCATCTTTAATTATATCAAAAGGTAAAATTTCAATGAAACCGATGATCTATTGTTCATCTATGTAGTAAATGAAAAATATTCCTATTGAAAGAAATTTCAGAAAAAAATGCTAACTTTGTTTAAAACGATTGTAAAAGTAGAGTTTTGGGACGCACTATTTAAACGAAAATATTTCGCGCCTTGATTCTACGTCATAGCTGTTGTATTTGAGTATGAAATGAATCAAACCTTCGTCCTATATTCGACAGACACTTACTCATTAGTGCAAAAAAGAGAGATATATCAGCGTCTGTCGGGCGCACCCTCAACTTAAGCCCACTTTTTGAGAGATTTCCATTTGTCAATCAATGCGCATTGAGCATTAAGAAAAAAAGCATGAAAGAATTTCTTGTCTGGGAATATTCTGTGTTGGAATGTACCTAAAAGTATGAGCCAACTGAGCCAAGACATATAAGAAACATGATAGGTACACACATTTTATCATCATTCTTCGGTTGATATTCTTGTGAACCTAATTCGAAAATACCCAATAGATGCTACTTTACGTAGACATACATTTTTTTTTCCTTCAATTATTAATAAAAAAATCTAGGAAAAAAAACCAATTTGGTTACTTTACGGGTGGTTCCTTTGAAGTGCACCTCGTTTTATTCATGGACCCCGAAGGCCGTGGAGGTAAGGATCTGGAGTTCGCTTCATTTATATCAAGCCTTCCCTTAGGCCTTTGACAAGTAAATCATGGGGATATTATATTATTGAGTAAGCTGGAATTTCCAGTTGTCCTTTGAGCTGAATTGGGAGCTAATCGAGAAATCGTGGTCAGGTAGTCTGGGCGAATAATTTCAAATCTTCTGAGTTTCCGGTCACTTCTGAAGAAGTCTTACATTCGCTCCTCGTTAGTACTTTGGTTATTCGGACAAATAAAACAAGAGAAATAGATATCTCGCTAAATCGAGGTTTCGCATTTATTCAAATATTTTATCAGAACTAGACTAGAAGTAGGTAGGTAGGTACATGAAAAATAAGGAACAGCAAATTTCATGAATTTGAAAAAATTAAAAATATATAAAATACCATTATGAGTGCAACATTCTAGAAACAGGCGTAGGTATTTATACTTACATATAACATGCCAAACTTTCAATTTGAGTTTTGAAATGTTTTTCTTTCGCTTTTGTTGAATCAATGTAGAGGTACCTATTTTTGAATTTTAGTGATCATAAAACATTTTTCACGGATTCCGGGTTCACTAAAACTCACTTCACAAACAGTAACAACTTTTATTAGACTATGTAATTGACTTTTATTTATATAAAATTCACCTATCACTTATTGAAACGTACACGACAAATATCGAATAAAACTAATTGGAACACTCTACTCCGATTGGTTTGCGAGACGCATTCTCAGAATCCAGTCGAGCTACCGAGGCAATTTTGTAACACTGCCTCCCTTTCAAATCAGATTGTTCTGATCTGACTCTACCAAGACGCACCGCTTCCTTTTCTTCGACTACCTATATGTATGTCCACTCAGATCCAGAATTATTGAATCTCTACTTTTCCATAACATCTCTTTACCTGTCTAAGTGGACTGCGACCTGAACGCAGTGCGTTAGACCGCTCGGCCTTCTCGACTTCCGAGATCTACCCTCATATATGCGTGGTTCTTCTTCCCTTGATGAATGGCTACCTGGTCCTATACCCTGTTGATTGCAATGCTGCCAACTGCCTTTGCTTTCGTGGATGGTCGCAGCACTCTTCTTTATGGAAATCCACAGAGCGGCCGTTTGAAGGATAACTTTGACCTTCTGGACCAGCATCAGTCTTAATCAGCCAATCTCCTTGTTCCTTCCAGGATTTTTCTTTTCTAAATTTCGTTGATCTATCCCTGACTTTCCTATTGTAGAAAAATGATTCGAGGGTCGAGGTAACTTTCTCCTAGTTGATCACTTCCCAGCTATTCGGCTCTCCGTTCTTCAGTCGCTTCCAATCGAAAGAGCGAGATCACAGCTGTACTCTACAGTTACGTTCGAAATGTCCTCTTCTTCCGCAGCGGTCGGTAACATTCGGAGCTGTTGTTCGAGTTACCCAATGAAGGCTGGGACTCATTAGAAGGAAAGCGAGGTCTCGAACGTAATCAACAATCACTCTAAAAATGCCGCCTTCTTCCCCAGTGGTAGCATTTAATGCTCCTTTTTTAATTTCCCATTTTGATTCTGCTAACAGCCTTCTCTAACTCTTCCAGAAATTCCTTCATTATGGTGCCGCAAACTTCTTACATTGGCTCTTTTTCTTCATGAATCGACACAGCTCTTTGCTTCGGAAATCTTATAAGCCGCGTCGATTTCCAGGGCCTTTATTCGTTTCGCTGCTATTTGATGGTTTGGTTGGCATTCTTTATACATCGATGTCTCTGTTGCTGCTTCCGGATAGGCCAAAATACCATCTGCAGGCGAGGATGAGATATTTCCTGACTTCATAGACGGAAAGCCAACGCCGAAAAAATTCTCTGAATTTACTAAAGCCAGTTTTTGGACAGTTGATTACAGTATTTACGTACATAAACATACCTCGGTCAGTCAAGCGAAACTTGGGACAAGGACCTAGGGTGTCTTGTTAAAGTTGTCGAGATAACTTAGGTAATGCAACGAATTTACTAATTATACATATTAAAGTTCGCCTTACGAGTCTAGCACTATGGAAAGAATGCGGATAAAAAAATTGCAATATTTTCTTTTTGACTTCCAATAGAAAATTCCTTAATATTTCTCTAGGTTATCCACCTACATTTATAAGGAAAAAGTAATATTTAAAAACGCTGCGCGCACACCTATGACAGGCAGCATAAAGCTCGAAATGAATGGCGTTATGCCCCAATTTATGAAAAAAAATAATCAGTAAATTTTCTTTTTAGTAGAGTGACAGCGTGACAGTGAGAATTCAAAATTGTAGGTTGAAGTATAAATTAATAGGTTTGTTCAGTAACATTAATATTTCTTTTAGATTTTTACATTTATTGGGGCTGACTGACCAGCACGGTCCCGCTATTCAACTGACTGACTAACATTACTGTTATTTATATGTTATATAATATAATATCTATAACGATTTTCAGCTTTAGTAAATTGATTGCATTTACCCAAGTTATCTCGACATCTTTAACAAGACACCGTAGGTCCTTTTCCCAAGTTTCGCTTGACTGACCACGGTATGTTGATGTACGTAAATACTGTAATCAACTGTCCAAAAACTAGCTTTAGTAAATTCAGAGAATTTTTTTGGCGCTGGCTCTTAGACTATCAAGTCACATTCCAATTTTGCTGCAGGAAAATTGTCGAGACTTTATTGAACCAAATATGTAGACTCCGAATAGCCTCGAGACACCTCGGGTGACTATACCATTTCAAAAACATTAGGGGGGAAAGTTTGAGAGTATATGAGAATACTTGGATCATTTTTTTATTATATTTTCGCACAATTTTTTTGTTGTTGTTGTTACACCTAGGGACTAAACTGGTACTTTCAATCCCGAGACAAAAAGTTTATAGCCCGACCGAAGGGGAAACACTTTAGTCCTGAGGGAGGTGTATATACACTATTTTATGCATTTTACTTTATTTCCCAGGGATTGAATAAAACAGGAAATAAAAGGGTGCTTTTAATCCCTTTTTCATTCAATTCTCGGGAGATAAAGTAAAAAATTATTCCCCGGGAAATAAAGTGAAATTTAATCCCGGGGATTAAAAGACCCACTTTACTCTCTGAAAACAGGGTTTAGAAGGGTACTTTTAATCCCTAAAGTGCAAAAAATAATCTCAAACTACAAACTTTTACATCAATTATTAATTAAGGCACAAATCATAAAATTTTCAAAATTTTAACTTTTGGGTGATCTGTGCTTTTAGTACTGGGTTTAGTGAATATGTCAGCTACTTGATCTTCAGTTTTGATGTATGATATATTCACCAAGCCTCGCTCAATTTTTGTGTGAATACAAAAGAACTTTTTCTACTGACGTTTCATAATACGCCTAAAATCTGTTTCATAATGAACTTCATTATGATACAGATTTTCATTATGATACAGATTGTTCATCCACTGGAATCGAGTATTTTGAACATGAACAATGTTTATTTTATATAAATAACAGACTTGCTCTGTAATTTTGGATTGTTTCTATTAGTATTTACCAAAAGAAACAACAAAAATAAATAAATCGGGTGCGGAATTTATGCCCAAATGACGTCTAGACAGAGCTGGGCAAAGCTCTCACTGAAAGGGCTTGAAGCACTAAGCCCTAAGCCCTTTCTCAAAGTGCTTTCAATTCCAAGCACAAATTCCTTTTTATTTTCAAAAGTGCTTCCCAAGCACAAAGCCCTCAAAGTGCTTAGGGCTTGGCAAGCACAAAGCCCTCAAAGTGATTTGAAAAGGGCTTGTGCTTCAAGCCCTTTTCAAAAGTGCTTGGGGTGGCTTAAAAACTGCTTTGAAGCTCTTTAAATGTGCTTGAAGCTCTTTAAATGTGCTTGAAGCTCTTTAAATGTGCTTGAAGCTCTTTAAATCTGCTTGAAGCTATTTGAATGTGCTTGAAGCTCTTTAAATGTGCTTCAAGCTCTTCAAAAGTGCTTGAAGTTCTTCAAAAGTGCCTGAAGCTCTTCAAAAGGTTTTGAAGCTCTCCAAAAGTGCTTGAAGCTCTTCAAAAGAGCTTGAAGCTCTTGAAATGTGCCTAAAGTACTTTGAATTTGTGATACAATTCTCAAAGTTGCAAAAACTACTGCGCATACACTCATCAGTTGAATTAGTATAGTAGAAATAGAAATAAACTTTAAATTTTACAAATTAGCAGTAGTATTTTATTTTATTTTTTGAGTGGTAATGGTAATGGTAATTCAATTTTGAGGTTTTCAAATTATTTAATGAGGAA